CACACAAGTGGAAAAAAAAGAACTACAGAAAAAATCGCTCCTCGTGGCGCTGCCACGAGGCGCGATTTTGGGCCTTCCACACTCCACCTTAGCCCTTCCCCCCTTCCCCGTCCCCCCATGTTTCCCCCATCCATGACATGTACCGCTATCACTCCCACTCTTCCCCTTTGTCGTTGACTGTCCCTTCCCTCCCATGACGTTGTGCCATGTGCCCCCTCCTCTTCCTCCAACTCCACCCGCGCTATCGCTCTGCACCTCTTCAAATGATTTCCTCCCCTCGTCCTACTGTGGCTTCTGCTGCCCTTCTCTCCCCTCCTTTCCCCAATTCTCACGCGCCCCTCTTCATTCTCTGTCTCTCACCAATCCATTTCTCTCTCTCTCTCTCTCTCTCCACCTTTACCTGACCTCTTCCCTTGCTCCGTACCCCACCCAACCTCTGCCCTCCCTCCTCCTTCCATCTGCCCTCCCTCCGCCCGACTTCACCCTGTCGTCTTTCCCCTTCCATAATTGTCACTTATGGGTATGGCGACATACCCTTTCTGATTTTTTTTTTAATTATTTTCTAAATGCGCCGCATCACGTGCGAGCGCACGTGTTCGCCTGTGCAGTGCGGCGCACGTGTGTAACTTGCGCGCACGTGATGCGCCGCAACTATGGTTTTTGGTCTTTTGCTGGGACCTGCCCTGCCCTTGCACGGCCGGGCTGCCCGGGAAAACAGGGTGACCTGTGCAGCCCAGCTGGTAGCCTCGGTCTGGAGCTCATTATGATCCCACATCATTCAAGACGTTCTATCCGTCGAAATGTATTCCGCCCCCAAACAGTCCAGCTACGCGTCGGATGTCATGCCGTGGAGTGAAACCCCTTTATCTTGATTTGGAGTCCGAGGTCTGAAGTAGTATTTTGAAATTTTCTTTTGTTCTTTGGAAGTTCTTCCCTTCTGGACAATCTGAACGTCAAACGTTGTTTTCGTCTTCTATTCCCAGGACTTGGAACTTCAGACGATTTTTTTCTTTTTTGTATTGATTTAATTAAAATTTGATTCTATAATAATTAATTGATAATAATGTGCCACCCTACGCTTGTGGATGGATAATCCCACCCCAGCTATACTTCCTGCATACAAGTTATAACCCCCTTATCTTTTTCAAACTCCGCGTTTCTGGGGACCGGTAGAGTACTTTTAGGACATAACATCGCATTCACTCACAAAGGCAAACAGATACACGTAAGATCGCACTGACAGACAGTCAGACACACACACACACACACACACACACACACACACACACACGCACACACACACACACAGTCAGACAGGCACACACACACACACCAAGAGGGAGGTCGCTCGTTCTATCCTTGTGATCGACTCGTGAGATGCTTTCCTAGCATTGACTTGCCCAGAAACCTGCAGTGTGGTTAAACATTTTGTGGTGGTTGCGTCGACGACCTGTGGTTGAGTGTGTGTGACTGGGTACACCGGGTCGCGGAGAAATCCATGCTGGGGTGGGGTTAAGTGCTCATCTTGGGGCTTAACTTTCACCCCAGTCCACTTAGCCGTTTGGTTGAGTGTTTGCCTCCCAAGAGGGAGGTCGTGCATTCGATTCTTGTGATCGACTCGTGAGATGCTTTCCTAACACACACACACACACACACACACACACACACACACACACACACCAGGGAAGAAGCGAAGGAGGGCTTACGAGAGTCGAAGCGAAAACCTTATGAGAGAAGTAGGGTAGCACAAACCTTACCTCTCTTCATCTGTTATGTCAAGTGGTAAAAAGTTAACCAGACTGTAGTCATCCACCTGGACAATTGTGCAAATAAACGAATACAACAACGAAAAGGAAAACAGCAAAACGCTTCAATGCGCAAAACAAGCGACATAAGAAGTATATGACTCATTCAGACAAGAGCCACTGAAAACCTTCATCGGATCATTATTATTAATTAATAATTATGCATTTTTGATGAGTTAAACACAAATTTGATTTTTTTTTGGGATTGAAAAACTCCAAAAGGTTAAAAAAAAAAAAAACTCATCCTCTTCTCACCTTCTGTGCAATTAAATTTGTTTTCTTTTTTAATAGTAAAAACTGAAAGAAATTAAAAAACTCGTTACGCCAAGTTCAAAATTGAAAGAAGCTTATATAATTCTCACTTACAAACGCCACGTAGCTCGCATTGATGAAAAACATCGACTCACAGCAACATAGTCCACACACTCTCTCAATGTACAAGTCTGACACTGAATTCAATGAAGATGCCAGAAACACAAAAGTCATAAGCGCATGCCCATAGGCGCTACGCACAAACTCTTCGTTGCACACAGACACTCACTGTACGTACCAAGACAGGTGGGTGAAACCAAGGGGATCACTGCCATTTTGTCAGGGAACCTCACTAATGCTATCAGTCCCATAATAATAATAATGAGGGGGGAAAAAACAGAAAAGAAGGAGCGGAAGATCGATGATCGGGCAACAAAATATTGCACATCCTTGCATACGTTGACTACTGGCAAGTTACTCTGTTATGAATCTCAAGCTCAAAGAGCTTGGACATCAAAATTCTTCTTTTTGCGAGGATTTTAGCCCCTCGGCAGTGCTTGTAAAGGCCATGCCCAGCCTACGTGAAGGCGGGCCTGCAAATATGCGCCCATGCCTGAATACAGGCCAATCCAATGTGACCAGGCTAGCCCCTCGGCAATGTTGGTAAAGGCCATGCTCGGCCTAAGAGAACGCCGCGGGCCC